ATAAGCGGTCCAGTATTGCATCCATTTTCTCGACACTTTCTTGAATTTCTTTGGCACGTTTTGCTTGGTCTCCACTTTCATCATCGCTATTAATTGATTCGGCGTCGCTGTCGTCGGAATCATCTGCGTCATCATCATCATCTTCTTCCTGGTCAGAAGGATTCATAGCGAGACCTTGAACAATAGCACCTGCGACCTCATCGTCCACGTCGTCCAAGTCGACCTGCATTTGTACATCAATTTTGACCAGTCTGTCTGTGATGAGAGCGAAAACATCCGACTTCAATTCGGGAGCATACTCCAGAAGACGAACGAGATTGTTAATATATGTGACATGTACTCTCTTTGATTCATCGGCGAAGGGAAACTTGGTTGAAAGGATGGGCGAGAGTGTAGCGCTGGCGGAGGGGACCAATCTAAGAAGGTATCTCAGTGCAAAATGAACTCTCGAAGAAAGTATATCGCGACTAACATCTGGGCAGCCAGGAAGACGCCCACTCGATACTCGTACTGTATCCAGGTTAGCAGAGCTTGGGCGAATGAGGGGGGTAACATGCCTCCAGTAAAGTTATCAACGAGCGTTCCTAGCACCAGCCCGACATACGCTCCCTGTGCGCTAACCAAGTTTCCCAGAAACTGAGCATACGCCTTGACGAATCCCTCTTCTCTGCCCATCCAGTCGCACTTCAATATGGCCTTAACTAGCCCGTTGCAATCCTTATTCAATAGTGATGCATAGCCAGTAAGCGCTAGCAGATATGTTTTCGCCTCATCGTTTGAACCAGTATCCTCTCTCTCGTCACCTTCAGTCTGCGCAAATACTTCTTTAATGCTATCGTACTTTTCGCTGTCGCCTTTGCCATGTGCCTCTATTGCCCGCTTGACCTCCACTCTGATACTTTCTAAACTCCTACCCTTTGCGACATACTCCTCTAAAACCTTTTCTTCGACCTTGGGATTGAAAGATACTCTCGCTCGTTTCGGATTTGGCACTTCTAAATCGTCATCCAGATCTGCATCTTGAGCTTTTCTTATCGTGCCTGACATGGTAGTTTTTAAAAGTGGTTTACTACCAGTGGTGATAGGTATTGATGGTTTCGAGGTAAGAGATACCATATTGCAAGAACTTGCAGTGGACAATTAGAATGTGTTGAGACCATTAATAGTATTAGAAAAATAATTGTTGTGTTGAGAAGAACTATGTTGTGTTAGAAGCAAGGCTACAATTGGTGATGGTAGTTTTTGCTCGTGTGCTTTTCCGAGGTAAGCCAAAAAAATATTTTAGATCTACATAGTCACATGATGGACCCAGCTTTGCCCCTCCCTCCCCACAAACTGTACTTAGTACGAGTATAGTATATATATTTATTGTGGACATCAAAGGTTCGAATTAGTCTTATCAATGTTTGTTACTGTAATAGTGAATCAATACAGGATATTCAGATCTTTAGTTCACTGCAAGTTCACTGCAAGAACACTGCAAGAACACTCCATGGATCAAAGTTGAAAACTAACAGGTGCTACAAAAGGGACATATGCACATGTTGATGGTATCATTATGTTCATTTTCCCTTGATATACAAGCCATAGGATGTGTGGTATTATTCTAGCAATCTGATGTGGGGCTGTTGAACCTACATCTGATGCTGTCCTTACTGCCCAATGCCATTCGTCCATCTCTGAGCTTTCATGAGACCGAACCCCCTGAGGTTATCGGCTTCTTGCTCTCACGAGCCAAGAAATCTAATAAAGCATCAAAAAAACACCCCTTACTTTTGACCCCATCCTTTGTACAAGGCAAGCAATTTGGATATCTCAAAAGTGGCCCATTAGCACCCGCCCAATTCCTCCCTTCCCAACACCTTTGCATATAGTTGATACATTCTTGCAATGTAAATCTTTCGCCCGTAAAATTCATCGATCACCCGATATAGTCAATTTGAATCCCAAACAAAACACCTAATAACCTTCTCCACCAGTAGCACCATTGTGACCACCACCATAAACGTAAGCACCGCTATCGTGTTCTGCTTCTACCTGTTGACCAGCAAGAACATTATTAGCACCCTCTGCTCCGACAGGGAACGTTGCCGAAGTTGCATTTGCAGTAGTAGCTCCAGAAGGTGGTCCAAAACCAGAGCTACCTGGTCGATTTTGGTTATCTCCTCGAGTCGATTGTTGCTAAAAAAATTCCGTTAGTCTTGTACATGATTGACCCAGTAAGCATGAATCATAGGTAGATGCTCAAGGATATTTGTTCAAGTGACTTGACTCACTTCTCGATATTTTGATAGGTAAATTTTGAGTGCTTCGGCATAATTTTCGAATCCCAAGGAGGTCATGGCGAACAGAATGTCTTCTCCATTGACAGTCTTGCGCTTCTCTTGATGACATTTCTCAGAAGCTGTGATAGGACAATTAGAACAGTACAGAAAAACATCTCGAATTTCGGACCGAGACATACCTTCGCTTGTGATGAAAGAGATGAATTCGCTGACACATTCTTGCATGCACTCTTTGGCCTCTTTTGCAATCTTTGCATTTTCTGGTAGAGCCGTCTTCATGATACGTGCAACTGGCGCAAAGTTACGAATGTTAGCTTCTGAATGACCAAGATCATATTTTTCTTCCCTTGAGGCGCCTCGCGTCTCCGGTGATTGAGAAGATGAAGTGTGAGACATGATAGGATGTATGATCACAGTGACACCGCTAGATTGAAACGTTTGTACTCCAAGCTCTTAACTGGTCCAAAGGCGAGGACATGCGCGTGTAATTAGTGTGATCAACGAAGCGATACCATTCACCATAAACTTCGATATGGGTAATCACACAAGATTCAATTCAAGATGGTGAATGACTGAAAAAAAGAAATCATCAACTAACCATTTGCTATAGGGAGCCATCTATCTTGTTCTTTGACTTCAAACTCGTAGCCTCCAGGAGCGTGTGGATCCGTATGTTCATTCATTTGTGCATCCGTGTCATCTGGCGAGACTCCTTGTTCAACGTCCGCTTCCTTTGGAGGGGAATTGGACATGATGTATTTGGGTAGGTGCAGGTGTCGGATAGCCGCTTCCTCAAAATTCCTTGGTTGCCACGTCGGCCGTATGATGTGTAGGACACGTCGTAAAGCCTTGCGATCTCGCAGTTATGCGTATCTGCGTGTTGACTTGCGTTGACCCTCGAGCAGACAGCCTTCTTTTCCCAATGTGCTTACTCTACCTAGTTGGATGTTGCCGGAAAAACGCGAGTGAATGGGGGGGGGTACGCCTCCGTATGAAACTAGGGCCCTTTGAAAGGGTATCACTTTCTGGGCTGAGCTGCAGGTATCCTACTGCATAAATCGCGTCAGAGGGTTTACAAAAAATTCGGGGATAGAAGGGTGGGTAGAGAATTTTTTGGGTATGAAATTGTAAAGAAAGCTTACCCACTTTCGTTCGAGGTCGGAGATATTCAAAGACTTCCTGCACGAAAGCGCCTTGTGTCTCTCTGTTTATGGAATCTGCAAGACAATAAATAAATGATGCGCGTGGGTGGGAGAGATAGAAACGTGGGGTTTAATGGATGAAGGAAGGAATGAGAGAGCGATAGAGAAGGATTATTTTGAATGGATGTTAAGTGTTTTGTAATTGAGGTACCTACCTAGTATGTATGAAATGGGTGGTTCGTATGTAGTAATGGGTTGTTGGTATGGGATGGTATGGATGTAACTTTTTTGGTTGGATGTTTGAACCAAAAAGTACGATCTGATGGATGTAGCAAATTGTAAGCTGGAGGTTAGATTGATACAAGATAGGTTGTGGTTGTGGTGGTGGTTGTGACCTTTGACCATTGACCATTGACCATTGACCTTATCCTTATCCTTATAAGGTTCCAAATGGAAGGAGCTATGATTGTAGAATAGCTAGCTCCGAGGCTCTTTCTTTTTTAGGGTCCTTTCATGGCCCGTACGCACTTTGAATCACCAGCACAACGACCGAAAAAGAAAAGGCAAAGTGTGGCGGATAAGGCATACCGAGTAGTATCTGGAAGGTCCACGGGTATCTAGGGATGGACTTCTGACAGAGCAAAGGGAAAGGACGGAGTACAAAGCTTGAGATACAGCTCAGCTGGTAAGATGCAATCCAATTCAATTCAGTGCAGTTCAGTTCAACCCAATTCAATTCAATCCAATTCCGTCCAATTCCGTCCAATTCCTATGATTCAAAGGTAGAATCAAGCAAGATCCAATAAATTGTCAATTTTCAACCCTGTATACGAACCCTAGGTAGATGGATAGAGCCGTAGCATTACACCTTCTCGAGGTCTGAAGTTGAATCACGCAATACTACCCAGTTTACCTACTAGGTACCTACTTTCTCTACAGCAGAACTTCCCTTGCCGTCGATCCATAGAATGAAAGTACGGCAGTGACCCATGGAACTCTCTTTATGGATGGATATTGGGGAGAATACTCAATAGATACATACGAAAACACGATATGTAGGTGGTAGTATCTTATTACTTGGGTACTCAGGCTGTAGGTGCAAGCGTGAGTGCAAGCGTATCAAGTATAACAAGTGAGTGTACCTTGTCGTTAGTATTGTGTGCTAGGTAGCTATAAAGGAGGTAAGGGATGCTGTTTAGATTGGATCTGTAACACCATTGAGCTGTGAAGCTTTAGGTACCTAGTCGAGCTAGTCTAGTATACATTCGATAGATAGGTACCTACCTACCGTAGGTATCAATTGACAACGCCCCAAAATTGTTTATCGTGAACGCCCCAAAAAACATCCTGATGTAAGTTAATTTTACCTCGAACTCTGAATGGTCGACGCAAAAGTTGATCGAGCTTCCAGACGTCAGGTACAAGACGCAAGGCTTGGGATCGGCTTGGGGATTTTCTCGGAAAACGGTAAGATATGTGAATGGAGAATTCAACTTCTCTGCCATCATTATCTACTGTCCAATGAATAAATGAAGCTTCAAGGAAAATTGTCATTGGGCATACTCATTCAAACAGAATTGGAAAGCAAGTGCACTGATTCGGGGATCGAGTGATTGTGCCAGGCATGCGTGCCCTTCACCCTCCAATAGCTTACCATTATTCCATATGCAATAAGTAATTGCTATTCACTCAAGTGACCAATACTTTTCAAGATATATGCAGCCTATCAACTGCACCTCCCATCACATCCCGTCCTCAGTCGACCGATGAAGCATTGTTTGCTTGTCGACCATCCCTACTTTTGGAATAGCATTATACCACCTGGGCATCCTATGAAATGCGCTGCATCTGTGCATTGATATCACCAAATACTTTGACACTTTTGCTCCCACAGCTTGGTATTACGTGATGTCACCTCCGAGGCGTGGTTAAATCCATGGTTAAGAAGACGATGATGGAGAAAGCATCTACGATGTTATCTACGTAAGTCCTTGTGGAAGCCTTGTTCTGTTACTTTTGTTTTGTCACGGAGTTGTTTCATGGACGTTGTTGAGCAGGTACGATTGCACGTGTACGCAGCAGGAGAAGGCCACATAGGATTGCTCCACATTCGCAACACAGTCTCAGGTTTTTGTAGGGGATATTCGATCACTATGATGTGGATGAGCAGGGAAGGTTGCCCGGAGATGAGTATATCACAAACCTCGTTGTCACCGTTGTATCGATTCTGCAAATGGACATCATATCCGTCTCTGTGCAGAAGCATTATGTTCGTCATCCATTAACAAAATACGAGATGAACCATAATCATCCTGCTTCATACCCCCACAACCGATATCATTTCTGCAGATGCAGGGTTCTGGTCAGCCTGACGGTGATTGAACAACACACCGCGCTTCTCATGCGAACTTAGCCAAAAATATGAACGTCTCGGGTCCTCTCATTCCTGACAGCCCTTTATGATTGGGCATCAAAGACATCAATTCGAGGCGTTCTCGTTGGGCCTTGAGACGCGAGCCGCCGTGATAATATAGGACTCAGGCTCGAACTGGCAGGAGTACTGGTTGTTATACAGCGCATCAGAACTACCAGTAATCTGGATATTTTTGGTCTAGACGTTTTGATTCATCCACCGATTTACGAGCAATCCAATGTTACTATAACGTTGTACAAACTCTCGTGATGCACATAAGAATATCACAACCTTCGGGGTAACTCAGTAAGAAGAATCATTTTGACAAGTCGAGATCTTGGGCATGAATGCTTCCCCGCGTATGTCATATTTGCTTCCCCGTTATGCAAAAGAATAGCCTGGCAAGCCCTTGCCTCATTGACTGCCTTATGAGCCAAAGTAGACTTTTACCCATCTTTGTTGTTGATGCAACGCCCATACTCCAATATATGTGACAAATGCTGACGCTTTCACTGCTGCACGACCTGGATATTGTTCTTCTTCTGTGTAACAACACTCGTCAGCAAATAATTTCTATCAAGCCGAGGAATCGACTCTTCCATACCTTCCACTTCTCCATTTCCAATTGTTTGCTATTGTATTGCTTGACCAAATCCTCCAAGACTTTCCGTAGACCTTCCGAATTTGTCTTCAAAGCCGGCACCACATCCTTTACCGTCCGCTCAACTAACACGCCATTTATCATTCGAAAACACTTTCGGTCACCAGGAAGAGGTTCAAGTGTTTCGAGAACAAGTCTGTTTGAATAAGGACGGTGAGCATAAGGCTTTCAAGCGGTGAGAATTTGAATCTCCAAGCATGTCTTGTATGTGATAACCGGAAGATGATCGAACTCTACGAGACGGGGGTAAAATAAGCCTGGGACTCACTTGTGCTCCTCTGCTTCTGTCTCTACGTCGCCAATCTTCGAGGCTATTTGCTGCAGACCATTTTTGTAATTTGTGTACTGGTTTTGGAGCTCTGATAAAGTGTCAGTTGATAGTTCCGATGTGTAATGAGGTACGTACCTTGCTGCTTGCGCGCCGTAATTTGTTGGGCCATATTTTAAAAATAAGACTTCGGAATAACCAGAAAGTTATCGTTCCTTTCAATCTCAACGACGGTTAGGAGTTTGAGTCGAAGAGTAAATGAATATTGGAGTACAGTATATCTATCGTATTAGAAAGATGAGCGCGGGGCATGCACTAAAATTAATACTGCCACTTTCACCGCTTAGAATTGTCCCGAATACTTTGAACGATCTCAAATGTCATAATTTGTTACCCAAAACAAACATCGATCTGGGATTCCACAATCAAGAAGAAGTTTCAAGATGCATCCCCATTTATGGACCAAAGATAATTCTGCAGGTACTATATTCAACCTCTTACTCCCTTGCGAACTCTACATGTGCATTTGGAAAAGCTCATCAGACCATTTCGACAATCTCTAATATTCAGTAGCTTGCGAAGAAGTCATGGCAGCTTTGGATGAATGCCATGCCAGAGGATTCCTGTGGAAATGTATGGGAATGTGCAACGATAAAAAGACAGCAGTAAACAAGTGTCTAAGGGCGCAACGACTGGCACGAACAGCGGCGAACCGAGAAGCCGCAAAAGTCAAGAACGAGAAAATCAAAGCGAAATGGGCAGAGATAGATGAGGCTTCATAAGGGTATAAGTCTGATTTCACAGATACGTCTCAGGGATTGGGTCATGGGGGAAGGGCGTTGGTTTACGATAGAGGGGCGTTTGGATGACATTCAATCTTGAATCATATCGGCATTACATTTCGGGACAAGACGTTTGCCACGATGATACAAATGGATCGACTTGATAAGAGGGAGGTGTGTCGGATATGGAGTAGGTGCTATATTAAGTGTCTGTACTTCGCGGATGAGACCATATCAAGAACTCAACTCAACTCAACCATTATAAAAATCTACAGTGAAAGGCTTTGGAAACATTTTAATTATTGAAGTAGAACATCACACCCAATTTGATCAATTTTGGAACACGCCTGGCCTGGTATACCATCTTTCACTTTCGCGCTCTGAATGCATTTCCGAAGGTGAATAGTCCGTACAAGGCGAGTAGACTTAAACCCGCTGGCAAAGGTTTTTGACTGCGAATTGCTCTTGGAATGGAAGAGCCTGCAAGAACGACAGATGCGAGAAGAGCGAGTCTGTAAGGAACAATATAAGCTTTGGAACAAAGGTAAATGGTTAGATATACACGGTGGAGCAAAAAGACATACTCAACGCCATAAGACAGGCGGCTTTGGATACGATAACCACCCAATAGGTACAAGGATCCAACAGTGAGACCTGCGGCGACAGATGGAATACTTCCAGTCCTGACATAACCCATCGTTCCACCGCCCGCAGTGAGTGCACCAAGAATATATGCTGGCAATTCGATTCCCTAGGCACCGTCAATAAACTGTACATGTTCAAGGAGTAGATTCATGAACCCACCATATTTGCGATTTGAATTAGATTGAGATTGAGATTGAGATTGAGATTGAGATTGAGATTGAGATTGAGATTGAGATTGAGATTGAGATTGATTGATGAGACGTTTCCTATGATTCGATACTATTCGGTAATTCTGTGATATCTTATTTAGTATTACAAAGCTAAAGCAATTGAATGACGGAAGCTACCCCTCGGCTCTGCCCCCATGCAGAGACCCCTGCAAACGCTAGCACCATCCCCATAGTAATCGCATCAAGCTTCGTGGCCTTCGAGCTCTAAGCCAAAATTCACAATTCACAACCACGACCTTCACACTTTTCCAATTCCGCCACGAATTTCACGATCTTTCCTTCCCACGCACACGATCTTTTGATTCTGAACAATGGCGCCAAAGAAGAACGCTGCGGCTGCTGCGGCCATCGCACCACCCACCACACAAACCACAACTACCACAACTACTATCCCGTCCTCTACACCCATTAAGATACCCTCCAAATCCTCTTCGCAAAATCAATCGCCTCAACAAGTAGCCATCGGCATCTGGCAAAATTACCTCAATAAAACACCACAGAGAACGAAGTTGATCGACGTGTTCATGTCATTTTTGGTTGTAGTGGGGGTACTACAATTTGTCTACTGTATCTTGGCTGGCAACTACGTAAGTACCATATTGTACTTTGGATATGGGTCGTAGGGAAGGAACATATGGAGATCAATGGGAAACGATGTGCGTGTGGATAGTGGAAGGACATGTGCTAACACAATCGCGATAGCCATTCAATGCATTTCTTTCTGGATTCTCGGCAACTGTGGGACAATTCGTTCTCACGGCTTCATTACGCATACAGACGAACGAGGAGAACAAGGCAGAATTTAACTCCGTCTCTCCAGAGAGGTATATAGTTCTCATTTATTGATGAATTGGGCTACTGCTAACAATATAAACAGGGCTTTTGCAGATTACGTTTTTGGAAGTTTGATTCTACATTTCTTTTGCGTTAACTTCATCAATTAGATGTGTGAATTTCAGGGGAGCTTTGATGCAGCGTGGGAAGACAGATTTTGCAGGGACTGTAGGATTACCAAAAGCTGGGGAGGAATATATTCCCATTATTATGAATTATAAGGGTGTTTTTGTTTTTCAAGTCAAATATACACATAAAATGTGGAATTACTGGCTATACATTTAGTGCTATCTCGGACAGTTAATCAACACCACTATCATATGGATCTTTCGTCTCTGTGGATATTGGACTGGGCGCCGGGCTTGCGGCTTTGGGTGTCCCGCTCCTTGGAGGGCCTCCTGCTTTAGGAGGTGGAGGCACACCACCACTTTTCGTGCTCGGCGCATGATCTAACTCTCTACTCTTTTTCTCTCCCTCCATGAAATAGTCATCCATGAAGTTATTCGGATTGTGCCCGTGTTTCTTCTCTTTCTTCTTTGCTGGTGTCGTGGTTACTGGGGCCGCAAGTTGCGCTGGCACCAGAAATTCACCTGGCTCTTGTGCCACCGCAGCTGGCACAAAAATTTGACCTGCGTTGCCTTCGCTCCCCATCGTCTCCCGAGGTTCCTCATTTGAAAACCTCGCGCTCTCTCCTTCAAATAATGTTTCTCCCGGTCCAGCAACAGGCTCGCTCAGCGGAGCTGGCAATCTATGTAACGCTCCATATCCCAAAGTACAACCCAGAGCTCCATCTCCACCCCAGTCTCTACTCGGGTGGATAGTGATTTCCCTTGTAACATTATATTCATTATTGTAGATGTAAAGTCGTAATGGTCGCCCGATGTGATCCTCGACTAATTCGCCCAATCCACTCTCTCCGTGTAAAACCCCCTCAGGCGTGCCGAGAATATAATCGCTGTAAGGTAGGAGGCCCGCGAGGTCGGCAGGAGAGTTGGCAGGTACGTCTAAGATATGCCATATATTTGAAACGGTGGAGAGAGATGTCCATTGAAGGGTCAGGCCTAAGGATGGAGTATCAGAAGGAACGGGAATGTGGATAGTTCGAGTACGTTGGCCCTAAATTTGTTAGTCTGTCGAATGTGAACAAATCGCGAGGGGGTTTATGCCTTTGCGCTCCAGAGACCAAGAGTTACTGAACTTCCCGCACAATTGCGTACTTCTTGAGCAAAAAGATTTGCATCAGAATCGTCCTAAAACTAATCAGCTATGCCAATGGTATTAGATAAGAGAACGCACGATCATTCGTCCATTAATTCCGACGATAAAATCAAACCAAGGTTCAACAGCCAGTTCTGGAGTCTTGTTTCTAAGAACTTGGAATCCAAATGCGGCATGGTTGTCCCGGTTCTGGTGAGCGGGAGAGTCCGAATCTAATCGGGAAATAAAGCGATTCAAAGCGTTGAACATATTGAAATGGAAAGTCCTTGAAAGTGTTATTTATTGAAGCTCTGGAGAGACTCAGTCAACACATTTGAGACGTGTTGTTCTCAAGGTGCAACCCTTGCTTTCACCATCAGCCTTGCAGCTACAGTATGGCCCAAGCTTCTTTCACCTTGGTTGCAAATTGCATGTGGTGTGGAAGGCTACCACCACAAATTTCAATCATTCACTTCATCCTTTTGAAGATTCCAAGAGGAAATGGATGGTGTAGTATTCCACTCGATGTATGTGTTCATTATGTTTGAAACATTAAATCATGTGCCCTAAAGTCACTGACCATATCTAGATAGTACCTGTGTTACTCGAGTACTTATTGTTCTCTACCTTCTTCTTCTCTTCGTTTGGTTCAGCAAGGTTGAATCTGAAGGATCCACACGTGAAAAAGAAAAGTTCTTATATGGGTGATAAAAGAATTCCATTTTTGGAAAAAGAAATACAAGATCTATTCGTTTCTGTTGCTGGATGCCATCGACCAAATCTTGAATCGTCTCAAAGTACTCGTTCCCCATACGTACAGACACGACAACAGAAAGAGAAAAATCGTCGATCTTTAGAAGGTATACTACCTCCACCAGCACCTCTTCCATTACCTCATCCTGAGACATCATTTTGTCACTCAAATTCTGGAAGACGTCTCCAGGTGATTATCAGACAAGGACCTGGTGTTGTCTTGAGCAGCGCAGTTCATTTTGAAATTGGTGCCAGAGAGAGACCAATATCACCTCCATTAAAAACGCGACTGGCACGAACTCTAGTTCAAGAATTCTCCGGTCTGTTGGTGCTTTCAAAGAAGTCAAACAGGCCTCTTGACATAGAATTCAATCAGTGAGCTCCTTAAAGTCACGAGGTTCAAATAAACAAGTAGATACTGTCAGATCACCAATTTCGAAATTTCGTCCTCGTCAGACTAGTGTTGTGACTTTCACTCCTGCGTCCCCAAATTGGATCTAGTCGGCTTTGTTTGTCCAAAGAATAGTGCGTCATTTTCCGGCTATACTGCAAGCCATTCGGTGTCAGAGTAGTAGGAAGCGAGCGAATCTTGCAATTTTGAAAGGGCTGTTGAACAGCGCGAGAACTTTAGTGAGTACGACTCCAAGCTTACACACTCGGCCCATGAATTCCTGTTCTAATAATAGCTTCTTCAACAAAGTCCATAAGGAGAATTGAATCAAAAGTCCAATTCCAGCTTAGGAACCTTTAACAATGGTCGTCAATAGCAGCAAGTCGTTTGGACATGCAGCCGCGAACGAATATGAAGAGAACCAAGATGACGACATCCCCGCCCAATTTGAATTAGACGAGAATTGTACACATTACACCTCCTTGAAAGAAGTGCCCTGGGATCTACATAAGTAGGTTTGCATGTCATGATGTAATTTCATTCAACTGACATTTTAGATACTGGCAGCAGCGTTATAGCGTGTTCTCACTCTACGACAATGGTATCTATATGACAGACGATGCTTGGTTCGGCGTTACCCCTGAACCAGTAGCTACGTACGTCTCCCTTATTACACGCGCACCTGTTCGTATACATCACTGACTGTACGCAGTCAAATCGCTCAGGACTATGCCTCTTCTACATCGCCCACAAAGACAACTATAATTGATCTGTTCGCTGGCGCTGGCGGCAACTCCATCGCGTTCGCTCTCTCCAACCGTTGGGCCCATGTCATAGCCATTGAGAAGGATCCCTCGGTTATCGCCTGCGCTGAAAACAATGCCTACGTCTATGGTGCTACAAACATAACTTGGGTTAATGGAGACTGTTTCGAGTACCTCAAGACCCACGCCTCTTCTATTAATCCTTCAGAAACTGTCATTTTCGCATCCCCACCGTGGGGAGGTCCTGGCTATACCTCTGAAAATATTTTCGATCTGAGTACTATGCAACCATATTCTGTGCAGTATATTCACGAGGCATGTAAGGCAATGGATACAGCATTGTATCTTCCACGAACCAGCGACCTTAGACAAATCTCTGCATTGTTGCCCGATGGAAAGAAGGTTGAGCTTGTGCAATATTGCATGGAGGGAGCGAGTAAGGCGCTAGTGGCGTATATCCCAGCCATTCAATGATAACGATTTGATCGGTTTGATGAAGACTTCGGAGATCCGGGTGGAGCTGCAAGTCGAGGTGCCTTGAAGCCTGAGGGCTGCAGCATACATGCGGTCTATCATGTGGGGATGGTACAAATTTTTGTTGCATATCGGGAATTCCTGAGGCAAATGGTGGGAGAAGACTTGGCCACATGAGCAAAATGTCGAAATATGCAGATGGCATCAAGTGGCTTATAATATAAATCTATACATATGGAAAAGAAGATAGCTATCTCTAGTATTTGAGGGGCTTGGTTTAAACCAATTCAAACTTCACATTATATCACATAACTTATATGTCCAAAATTACACAATTTTTATACCCACAGCCTCATCTAACTAAGGTCCGGTCACTTCCTGATGTCCTTGAGCTTTGTAACCCCTGCTGTAGCCTGGTCTGCATCGCCTCCAACATCGCTCTCTCTTCGTACTCCAATGGTAACCAGCTAGGTATAATAATGTGATGCTTGTCAATCTTGATTGTTCCTTCTTCGGAAATGTGTTGAATTTCGGCTGACTGCTCCACTCCACTAGCACTTTCTGAAATCTTCTCGATATCTTCTTCAGACCGACTGCTCAGCAAATGCGGCGTCCACCAGTATATGGGGAAAGTTCTCTGTATGTTATTCACGACACAAGCGATAGCAACCAGAAGCACGCTCCCTAATAGGACCAAAGGTATTAGATACCATCCTATCTCCGTGATCTCAGGTGACGTAGCAGCTAACAAAGCAGTGGCTCCAGCCGGTGGATGAATCGTGTTGGTCAAGCCCATCACAGCAGAAGCTACACCGACTGAAAGAGCACCAGCCAACCATCGTAGATTCTCAAATTCTGCACTATGTTCGAACAGTTTTGTTATGCCGACGCCGATGATGGAGGCGAGTAGTTGACCCAGTATTGCATTTCGTGGCTGGGCGAGAGGAGAATCAATTGTATTATATTCTAAAATTGCGGCAGCGCCCTATCATGACCGTTAGATATAACAAGACTCCGCGGTAGCTTCTGGTAGCATACAAAACTTGCGATGACCAATGGGGTGCCACGTTCTTTGAAATATGGAAGTCGAAATATATTTTCGATAACCGCAATGCCGCAGAAAGCGCCAATGAAAGCCCAAAACCAAACAACTAGACTACCAGTTCGAGACCTCGGCTTACTTCGATACCCAAGGAACCAGGAGATTGGCGTTGGGAGTATGTAAAGTCTAGGGGAAGGAATAATACGATTCAGATAATAATCTATATCGAAATCTAAGTTGGACATTGGTCCTAACTTTGGGCCAAGAACTTTGGTGGCTAAACAGAAAAGACACTCTGAAGAAACCTGAGGGATTTGAATATATGTTTTACATACAAAGGAATACAAACCATGTATATAGTAAGACGGGAATTAAGCATAAATCAAACGCAAGAGTCATATAAAAAAAAATGTCAAACAAAGCAACAATTCACTCCAACTATGACATAAGGGAAATCTTCCAAATCTCAACATCTCCGGTGAATAGAAGGTACACAGACGGAATCAATGCACAAGACTATTCACAAGTGTTCACAAGTGAACGAAACGCATTGAATAAGGTAGGAGCTAAAGGAGCATTGGAGAACCGGAATCCGGGGTAGAAGCCAGGAAGAGGATTGACAAATATTAACAATATATCCACGATATTATGTCAGTCGAAACAACGCACGAGGGAACCTATAGGAAGCGTGAACACTCCGCGTCGCCATTGCACATGATGAATCTAGATGCCGAATGTGTGCGAGAAGAGTGTGTTGGTGCTTGCTGTTGCTGGTTGTTAAGTTTCGAAAGGAGACGCGATGACACATAGAAATACAAATCCACCAGTAGAATTGATGATCTTTCGGGACTTTCGGTGCCTCAGGTTGTGTAGCTTCCGATGCTCCGACGATTGTACGGCCAAACAGCTCTGTAATCAAGATGTCTCGAGGATGTATGTCTATGATTTATAAGTTACAGTGACCGTGCACTTCTACTTGGTCGATCTCAAAAACACACCAAAAAAAGCTATTTTATTACTTTTTAATAAATAAATTATTATTCTTTTGAATAATTTTATTATATTGTAATTCAAGAAATCAATAATTTATAAATTAATAAAATTGAATATGAAATCCAATTTTATTTTAAATCTTTATAAAAAATAATATATATCTTTAAAATCTTAATATCAAAAAGTTCTTGAAAATTCGCTTATTTTTGCTGTAAATTTTAATAATCCAAAATCTTGAAACTTTAAATCAATATTTTATAATAAATAAATTCTTCAAAAATAATTCAAATGATTTTTATAAAATAATATATAAAAGTTAATGTAAAAATATAAATATTTATTCAATAAATATATGATTTTTATTAAAACTAAATATATTTAAATAATGAGTTTTGGTGCAAAATAGTTATCGACCAAGTAGAAGTGCCCTAGTACTGTAGCAGGTGAATCCCTATGTTTTGATGTTGGATTTAACTCGAACTTCGCTCGGTGTGTGGGTTCACCGGGAGTGCGGAGTATACCAGTATGGTGGTCTAATTGATCGCTCCATGCTACTGTTCGTATTGCGGTATTTTTGGAAACGTCTAAAGATACCCTTGCAGCCGAGTTCTATGTTGCTCACTATTTTCATTTTCAGCACTTCAATAGCACGGTACCGATCATACATTATCGTGTGAAATTGCTTTGTCGTATTGTGTGTGCAGTCTTGCAAGCGCCGGCCCCACTGAATACCCACCACAGGTTAATTTAACTTGTACGAAGTACTCCGTACAAACGCTCGTGTAGAGTTCGAACCACACACTCTGCAACTTCTGTATTGGCCTGTTTATGCCGTTCCTTTTGCTACAGAAGCTTGCAGGAGTAGCGCTCTATCGGCTCTTTATGCATCGATCACGTTGGACTGTCGTGAATGTACTTTGGGTGGCGAGTACCGAGAACTCCCTACGCTTTTCACGGCATTTCTGGCCCACCCCATTTCTGTAGGATTTGGATAGGAAGTCAGTTCACAGCGATTTGACGTGAGGAATGTCTGGGCAAGACTGGGCATAGCCTTCATTGTGGATTAGGGTACATTATAAATTCCTTCGTTTTTTGCGTAAATACGGTTCCTTAGACAGATGAGCGTCATGGTATATAAAACTCTAAGCCTCGTCTATACATGAGAGTTCAGCAACAAATTACAAGTATTTTGTCCCTTATATACAAAGCCAAGTAAGACTCAGGCACTTCTTCAATTCTCATACCTCCTCGTTCTACTCCCAACTTCAACTTTGACTCTCCACCTGATAAGTTAGCCATCGACTGTATCGCGGCAACGAGCCCATTCCGTCAACTCCCATTCTATCACTATCACCTGCCATAATGCACACTCCCACGGTCGTTTCATTTCTTTGTGTCTTTATGACCGCCATTGAAGCCATTGTTATACCCGCTGCGGATCAGATGAGAATATTTGTTGAAAATGTCGAGAAGGTCGAAAATGTCGTCGCATATATCGGCGTCAGCGGTGTCAACCTTGGCTGGTAAAACATAGATATCCCCCCCTCTCATCACCTAACCGACTAACATCCCAAAGTGTGATATCCGATGACAACTTCCCTGCCAAGTCCGAGATATCCAGTAACACTGGCATAGCAAATTGCTGGAATTGGAGCGAATCAGTCACAGATCTTGAAGTTACCTGGGGAGATTTTGATTGGATCAGTCTATACCGCGGCTCCGACTGTGATTCCAGCGACAACATAACATACCTGAAGGACGATGTTGATGTAGTCGATGGGCAATCATGTCATTCGACAGATGTGGTGAGGGGCCGGGAATTCGTCAATTCACTTTCTAGTGGCTCAATCCTGTTCGGAAGGGGTAGTGCACCTCTTGGTGATATGCTTGTGCTTCCGAAAGCCGCTCCATCTGTGGACTCTGTCACCAGCAGATTAGAGATGTTAAGAAATGGGGAACTGTAAACCCCAGTGGAAAATGTATTGTTCTGTGGTTGGTTCTATGGAGTTAAACGGCTGTGATACCCGGACGAAAGGAGTTGGTTCATTGAATATTCATCAATTATGCCTATTTAAAAAGACTGCTTTCATTGCACTATTTTTCAATCATGAGATGAAGGAGAACGTGCGAAACCGTAACTATCTTGCGATAGTTGTCACTGCCATCTCCACAGCATGTGACGAAAACAGGCGTATACTTACTCCAATGTGGAAGTCCTTGCTTTATGGTAATAGGATACGAGCAATGTTTGTCTGTACATATTATTTGGTTTGTTGCATGAAGGAAAGGTAGGAGGCGGTTAAAAACTGTAATCAAGTTTCAGTTCATGTTCAATATCAGATACATGCTGCATGATCTATACAAATTCAGCATGATGTAGTATTCTCGCTTCTACAAAGCCGACGCAGCAAGCTCCTCGTCTTGCTTCGTGAACAATCTCCAGCTATTCATGACTACATCTATCTGAGTAGCATCTACATGCGATCGATCCTTTCTCTCCTTCTCCTTTCAACTCGGCTTGTCCATTTATGTTGTAAATTTAAAGCCATCACACTCGTTAGAACTCTCTACTTTGTCTCCTTCCTTGAAAGATGAAGACCCATTCTCCGAAATGACGAGACCTCACCGGGGGTTTACTGCCCCCTTCAAAAGACCTGTCTGTCTGTATATCAAGCAAACGACCCGCTGCTACACTTTACTCTTTATTAGCCGTTTTAATCACCCTCTCTGATTTCTGGTACTTCCGTGCTTTCAGCAACTCTTTATTCGATTGCCTGTTTATCTATACTGATTTTATACGGACGATATGTGATGATTTGATATTTTACGGAAAAAAGCAAAGTACTCCCATCTCTTCCTCTGGGGCCAGTGTATATTGATTGAGTTTTGAAGATTTTGACTGAGACGAGATACTTCGATCTGGTCATCATTGTTCATGAATCTATTTATGGCTCATTTCAGATCTTGAAGGTCTGCGTACCTAGCGAATAGATCTGGGAAAGGAGAGAGCACTAACAAACTTCGAAGTATATTGGTGTCTTTTGAGATGAATGCTCTCTTCGTTTGATGGCATTTCGAGTACGAAAACAAGATCGAAGTTAAGCATGATCCAGATTTTAATTTTAAGTGCAATGAGTCCGCCGATATTGACAAGTTCTAAGAGGAGATACCATGCTGGCTGATGTGCAGTTTCTTAAAACTCGCGCATTTTCTTTTCGAGAGAAGGATAGGATCGGAAAGAAAGAGCGAGCAATTGGAGAGGATGAAATATATTGATGATCTGAAATCGAAGAACGAGATCTGGAAGTGTTGATGTGATTAATTAAATCCAATCAACGGCCCCTGGTTTCTTAGACAGTGAATGAAAAAGGGTAGGTCAGTAGGGGAAATAAATGATGGCTGCAGCAGAAGGAGAATGCCTACCTTATTGATCTCAATATCGAGCAAACTTAAGGCTAGAAGTCAGAATACAATTTTATAGCAACATGTATCAAATTGATTCACTGCAGGAGGGCGAATTTGATTTGGTTCAAAAGAATTCATGGGAATGACAGTGGGTACATGGACTCACGAGCAAAACAAAACAACCAATCCATGAATCCAACGATGCTTCTCAGTCATTTTCTTTGTGCTATTCAAGAATTTGTATACAATGGTTAACTACAGGTGAATAAATGAGTTTATATATTCTCAAAGGGCATGAATTGAAGTCAAGATCTGTCAAATTCGTCGGAGCGTCTCATCAGTCTATACATCCACTTGTCGGCCGCCACGGCTCATGGTATAAGATTGAGCTTGTACCTTGGATTTTAATAGCTCCAAATTGGCGAGCTAAGGACTGAAAATATACATCAAGTAGTCTATTGAAGATCAAGTGCGATAATAATGAATGTGTTGAGGGAAGAGCATTGAAGGCTCAGCCAGGGAACGAGTAGCCGAATGATTGTCACCATCCGACAAAAGGGGAAGCGACACTGGGTTGATAAATGGTGGAGTGAAGTCTTTGCCAATCCAGTTCACTAGTAGCATCATTATAAACTTGCTCTATTTCAAACAACTCACACGCCCCATACGCAACATGTGAGCTCGTCTTTGATTCTAACCTCACGCCCCTTGGGAAATTAATCTTGAATCCTCTCAATTTCCTCGACTCTTTTCTGAATTGGATATATTTATTACTTCTCCATGTAAAGAAGGATACTACAGATTTTGCTGTTTATGCAAATTCGAAAGCATGGCCATCTTTTGAATT